AACTATAATTAGTGTTTCCTCTATATCCTTCTTTTGTCTAAGGAACGATTCACTTGCATCAAAAATTGATAATATTCCTGTTTTTTTAATTATAGTTTAATGGATTTACTGTTTACGACTGGTTGGGATGATATTCATACATTTTAGTGTCTATAAAGAATTATTAATCCTGGCGGATTTATTATATGGAAAGCTTCGTCACGTCATTCACAGAAAGTTTCCTAAAGCATTTCCATATCTGAAATCGAAGTTAGATAATTAAAAAGTTACTTGCATGCAGTTGATTTAGGATAATGCATACAGTTGAACTAACTTAATAGTATACTTCTCTTTTGTCTGAAAAAATGAGGGGGAATAAACTATTCTTTGTAATGAGTTACTACTAAGACACGATAAACTCTGTAATGAGTTATCGTTCGCTCTCTGAGAATAAAATATTTATGCCAGTGATAAACTAGAATCCCAATATGTGATCGCTTTGAGATTTTATACGGATTTCTCCTCAAATCTACAAGTCATTGCAGAACACAATAGATAGACCGAGTCGAGAGTAAACATGTGATTGGCATATCCTAACTGTAACCGAGTGTTCCTTGTTCGCGACCAGTTGATGCAAAAACACACTCCGCACTTTGAAGCTGTAAGTGCACTAAAGAAAGGCGCTCGTTATTCAGGTAAGCGTAGCCCAAGAGTTTAGATAGTGATTGGTGGTTAGCGACCTCTTTTATGTCTACCAGTTTAAAAATAAAAACGACTAGTTTCAGATAGCATTTGTGTAGCTGTACGTGAAATTTTGAAACAAACATATAAAAAAAATCTTTTATTGAAATTCATAATTGGAAAATATTCATTAAAAAATATGAATTAAATTAGAAACTTTAAATTTAACATTTTATTGATATGAATAAATGTATATAAAGTTCGTTTGTTGCGCATTTTACGCAAATGTTTCATATATCAGGCAAATAAACTGTACGATATTAAAATTATATTAAATATTATATTATAAATATTAATATTAAGATAGAATTCAAATAGATGAAAAAGAAGATGTAAAAAATGGTATAAAACAAGAATCTTAGTGTCATGGCGAGTTTCATGACCTAGCATCAGATTTGTTACAATAATCAAGTGTTTATCCTTTAGGACTTTAAGTTTAAGTGCAACTATTATAATAACATTCAATTGCAGTTTTACTTAGATAATCCTCAGTCTCATTTGTTAGAAAAACCAAAATCAACCAAAATGTCTTCGTGATCAACACCCGGTGGACAGGGATCAAAGTGCTTTGAGGTAAACTCAGAAGAAAGACTCCAAAGTGGGAAATGATAAACACGCGGAGGAAAGGGACGAAAAGAACGAAAGTACAAAGTTATAAACACACGGAAGAAAAGTACCAAAATGGGAAATGATAAACACAGGGAAGATAGGCACCAAAATAGGAAATGATAAACACATGGAAGAAAGGCACCAAAATTGGAAATGATAAACACACGGAAGATAGGCACCAAAATAGGAAATGATAAACACGTGGAGGAAATGGAGAAAAGGAACGAAAGTGCAAAGTTAAAAACACGCGGAGGAAAGGGACGAAAAGAACGAAAGTGCAAAGTTATAAACACACAAAAGAAAAGCACCAAAATGGGAAATGATAAACACAGGGAAGATAGGCACCAAAATAGGAAATGATAAACACGTGGAGGAAATGGAGAAAAGGAACGAAAGTGCAAAGTTATAAACACGCGGAGGAAAGGGACGAAAAGAACGAAAGTACAAAGTTATAAACACACGGAGGAAAGGGACGAAACGAACGAAAGTGCAAAGTTATAAACACACGGAGGAAAGGGACGAAACGAACGAAAGTGCAAAGTTATAAACACTCAGAAGAAAAGCACCAAAATGGGAAATGATAAACACATGGAAGATAGGCACCAAAATAGGAAATGATAAACACGTGGAAGAAGGCACCAAAATTGGAAATGATAAACACGCAAAAGAAATGGACGACAAGAACGAAAGTACAAAGTGATAAACGTACGGAAGAAATGGACCAAAGTGCAACGTGATAAACTCGCGTGATAAAATCATTCGGCAGTTATCGTGCAACGAAATGCAGGGAAGAAAAATAACTCACTAAACTGCTAATACCATACGATGAATTTAGTCATTATAAAATTGAAAGTTTTATTTTTTATATTATTGATCAAAAGTACAGTCAAAGAGGAGTAACTGTATCTTCAAATATCATAGTCACAAATGTATTTTGAACAAGCAAGAACTTGCAAATGAATATAGTAATAAATTATTTTTTTCAAAAATAAAAACGACCATACATTTAAAGATTAACAGATAACATGTGATTTTCCTGAGTAGAAGAAACGCTTTTTACGTTATCTTTGTTTTTAGCTCGTTTCTATCCAGCTCTTTGCATAGTTTCATATCAGCTGTCTCCAAGCATTTGTTAACGATAATACATGGACTCTCGAGCGTTAAACTTGATAGACTTATTTAGCAGATATCTATGGTGAATTTTTACATGGCTGTACAGTTAAAACATCTGTGTAAATATAGAAGCGAATGAAGATATAGCCCTTGAGTGTATGAAAAGTTCTTAATAATGCGCATGCTCAATTGTGTTCATAAATTCTTTATATATTTGTTTGTTTGTTTTTGAATTTCACGCAAAGCTACACGAGGGCTGTCTGCGCTAGGTTTCCCTAATTTAGCAGTGTAAGACTAGAGGAAAGGCAGCTAGTCATCACCACCCACCGCCAACTCTTGAGCTACTCTTTTACCAAAGAATAGTGCGATTGAGCGTCACATTATAACGCCCCCACGAATGCAAGGGTGAGCGTGTTTGGTGGGACGGGGATTCGTACCCGCGATCCGCAAATCGAGCTCCCTAACCACCTGGCCATGCTAGGCCTCATTTTTATGAAAATATGTTAGATAGCATTTATTTCAAATATAATAATGTCCTTAGTTTATTCAGTTCAGTGCTCTATATTAGATGAAATATGTGGCAGTTCTGCTGCAGTATAGGTATATAATTTCAGAAATAAAATATTACAAAGTGAAAATTTATTATATGCATTGATAGATTATATGTGAAAACGCAGAAAGATAGATATTTAATATTCTAGTTCATGTATTTCTAAATGAAATCTTATGGTTTGCAATACAAATATAGATTTAAATTTCAAATGGTGTTGTTTTCAACAAAATCCTAATTTTGTATTATACATTGTATTGAGAAGCTCCATTTAGTTCAGAAATTTGGAATATCTTATGGATCTTCAAAGTGAGAAAAGGGTGTTAGTTAGATTCGTAAACTTCCAGTTACAGGCAGAAAATGTTCTATGGACCTTAGTGTCAGTTAGATTCATAGGCTTCAATTTAGCTTCAGAAATTTGGAATATCTTATGGATCTTCAAAGTGAGAAAAGGGTGTTAGTTAGATTCGTAAACTTCCAGTTACAGGTAGAAAATGTTCTATGGACCTTAGTGTCAGTTAGATTCATAGGCTTCAATTTAGCTTCAGAAATAAGAAACATATTCTATGAACTATTGTATTTCAACAGTTGTAATATAAATAAATTCGTAGACATGCTGTCGAAGTCCTAACAAAATTAGTTAATATGTGTATAATACATTAAAGAAGTTGATAAGTTAATTGTTAGAAACCTTAATAATTGAAGGCGCTTAGTTGATGAGTCGATGCAGTGTGTTATTACTGGAGGCTTAAAATTGCTTTAAAACAATATTTATGGTTTAAGTTTTAATCTCAGTCCGTTAAACTTAAGTTTTAGAGCAGTATTTTATTGCCATTTATTACTGTTACTTATTTTATTCTTTGCATAGTTTTATATCAACTGTCTCCAAGCATTTGTTAACGATAACACACGGAATCTCGAGCGTTGAACTTGATAGACTTATTTAGCAGATATCTATGATGAATTTTTGCATGGTTGTACAAGTTGGATATCAAAAACAATGTTAGTTGTTAAAACCATGATATCAAACTGTGGATGAGCTATGGGGTTTACTAGTGTCCTGTGTAAAGAAAAATGTTATTTTATTTACAGTGAAAGTGCGAATATATGAAATATTTTATTAGGATATCATTATTATCTTTTTAAATGTTACCGTAGATTCAACAATTCCACAAGGGGACGCCAGTTACAATAATAAACGATTGACAGAGCAAGCTAATAAAAATAATTCCCTTAATGCAGAATAATGTTGTTAAAAATAGTTCAGTTATACAAAAAAAAGTCAATCAATAAATAATTTGGCCAGAATTTTATTTATCAATGCCTTTAAAGAAAATTAAAATGAATCAACATCTGTTTTATAAAGATTTTGCCCTTCTTTTCTGTTTGTAACTCCTACCAACACTGGTCCTTTTACCTTATGGTAATTATCAAAGAGTTTCGTGACTGTACAGCAATTAGGCTTTAAATCTAAATAGACGATGATTTAATTATTTTAAATGTAGTGGTTTGCTACTACCTATCAGATAAAAACGTGATGAAATTAGTTTTAGTGAAACTATTTCACTCTTCTACGGCACTAATGACCAGTAGATAAGTTTAGATAAAGGCATCCAGTCATACGTAAGTAATCATATTTCTGTAAATAAATATAAAAAAAGAATTAAAAGATTCAATTGACAAGAATGATGGACTCTTAAAAATGTGTAAAAAAAAATTGAGCTCGAGAAAAACAACAACAGTATCATCATGCTTTTATGGCTATAAAAGATTTTCTTCTAATGCCACAGACAAAAGCGCCAATAACGTTAAGTAGATCTGAGTTTTACAAACGTATCTTCGTTATTTCTAAAAAATATGTAATTTGAAAATATCTCGCTAACTGCTACTCTTATTTGTATTTTAGGTTCCTGATTGAAGCTGGTGCACATTATTATAAATAGTATTTGACTGGGATTGCTACCTACCAGAAACCTACCACAAGAAAATTAGACTGTTCAAGTTAATCATGATTTTCGATACAACTATTGTTAATATTTTGTCAGAGACCCAATCCTCAACTGATCCAGAAATGTCCCTCACAGACGTTTCATCAGATGATAGCATCCATCTGACAACTGAGACCACTCGTGTGCCCTTAGCGACAAACTTCTCTTCCATCTACAACACATTGACAACAACCTTATCCACATTGTCAGATGTTGAAGGACTCCTGATGGAGGTTGACACAGACATCCAAAATCACCTGTCAGTGCTGTGCTGCAACAAAGAAACTGGTAGTAATGATACGATTTCCTATAATAACGCGTCTAATGACACAATGGCGTCTGAAAAAACTCATATGCCGCCATATACTCTTTGGCTAACAATATTCATAGCCATCTCTATTGGTTTGTGTATTATACTTACTGTTGCTGGTAACATTCTGGTTTTAATGGCTTTTGCCGTAGAAAGAGCTATTCGACAACCAAGCAATTACTTTATTGTGTCTTTAGCGATTTCAGACTTACTAATCGGAATAGTGTCAATGCCCTTTTATGCCGTTTATGTGCTGGTCGGTCGATGGGATCTTGGGCCTATTCCTTGCGATCTATGGCTTGCCACTGACCACACAGTTTGCCTAGTTTCAATTTATACAGTGCTACTGATTACCATCGACAGGTACTGTTCTGTTAAGATTGCTGCCAAATACCGAAATTGGCGTACTAAAAACAAGGTAATATTCATGGTAGCAGTCACGTGGATTATTCCTTTTTTAGTGTTTTTTATTAGCATCATGGGATGGGAGCATTTTATTGGCTTTAGAGACCTGAATCCTGGAGAGTGTGCAGTTCAATTCCTTAAAGATCCTGTCTTCAACACTTCTCTTATCTTTGGTTATTTTTATGCCACGTTAGTAGTTCTTTTTGTTCTTTATGGTGGAATATACAAAACAGCTAGTGACATGCAGAAAAGGTCAGCAGCAAAGCAAAAGAAAATGCAGAGTCTTGTAGCCATGGGAAGGGCACCAGGTGGAAAGAGGTCAATTGGTATGTCTAAAACACAGAGTACTTTATTAAGTCAAGACAAACCAAAACCTGTCCAGACAGAACATACGACTTCTATGCTTCCCGTAGGAGAGTTGAATCCTCCAAATCCTCATGTTAAAGGACATGGCAGTGGAGACTCGTCATCTAGTCAGAAAACGGCTTCAAACAAAACTGGAAACACAGAAACCACTAGTTTCTCGGACAAAAAAGATGCCCCTGAACCAGATCGATCTAGCAGTCCAATGTTTGACTCTGACGAGGAAAGCTATCAAAATCCTACAAAATCAAAAAATGCAGAAAGTAAAACCAAAGGTAAGAAAGTTGTTAAAGCTGTTGTCTTGAACAATAAAGTAAACAGTGTACAAAATGCAGACGCAGCCAAATCCCCTGTTACCGATGATCCAATTCCTAAAATAGTTCTCCCACCTACAGTACCACCTCGGTCTCTTCCATTAGATTCTAAAAATGACATATCCAGAGAAGAGAGCCCTTTACACAATGACAATATAGTGACTCTTAAGTACGAGCAACCTAATTTTGTTTTGGGAGTATCTTCACCGGCAGAGAGTACTATTTCATTAACAGAGAAGTGGGTTAACATGAATGAGAGGCTACATCCTCCCAAGACCTTGAACTTAGAGTCAGTAAAAGAAGAACAACCATTGGAACATTTAGAAACTAATGATATGAGATATATTGATCAGGACAGTTCTGTAGTTATGCCTTCTCCTTCCAGTGACACAGCACCTGCAGACACTTCTCTGCCAATAGAGGGCATTCCTGAACCTCGTACAAAAGATAAAGCAGTGAACACAGATCCTGTAGTTTTGTATGACTTTTCTGTTATTCATTCTCGACGATTTCTGAAGAAATATAGCGTTATGAGCATGCAGGTTGAAAGTGTGTCTGATTCCAAAACTGTAACACGTATTGCTAAACCAGAAGAGTTACAGCCCATAATTGATCATGACCAGTCGACCGCTAGAGTTGCTTCTGGTAAAAGTTACTCAACAACTCATTTCAAGAAAGCCTTCGTAAGCTCTCTTGGAAACAAACGCAAAAAAGGAAAACATGAAGTAAAAGAGAGAAGGCAAAAATCGAAATCTGAAAACCGTGCGAGAAAAGCATTGAGGACTATTTCTTTCATATTAGGTGCATTTGTGTTGTGTTGGACTCCTTATCACATATGCGCATTGGTAGAAGGATTTTGCACTGATACTGCTGGATGTGTGAACTATCACTTGTTCTATTTCACGTATTTTTTATGTTACGCTAACAGTCCAGTTAACCCCTTTTGTTACGCAATGGCAAACCAGCAGTTCAAAAAAACATTTTATCGACTCCTTCGAGGTGATTTCCATCACACATAGCGAGCTGGAAGGATTTGGTTTCAGTAAACATGAAAGTTAAACTCGACCTACTTCGTCAAGAAGCAATGGTGTTTCCTGTTTTTTGATTTAGGTATATTCTGAAAAAAGTATGTGAAAGGATTGGTGGTATTTAGTTTGCAACTTTTTCTCGAGTCTATGGAAAATCTTGTTTTACTGGTAGAGAAAAAAACATGTATAAGATTTTTAGCTGTGGTAATACTGTAAGCAATATGTAGTTTGTGATGTTTAGCTGTGGTAATACTATAAACAAAATGTAGTTTGTGATGATCAATCCTAAGAAATGTTAATATCTTAAAGATTAGATTTAGTGATTTTGAGTAAATGCTAATTAGAATTGCATTTGAATTTCTATTGCCACGGAAACCCTGTACACTTAACAGTATAGAAGGCACGGTTCCGATTAGCTAGACAATATTTGCATTAGATCGCAAGAAGGTTTCTATTTCTTTTTTTCAACTTCTGAACTAATATAGTACTAGAACTATTGGATTTCGTGTTCTGCTAAGCCATGTGTAATGTTATTTCTCTATTGTAAGGTTCTTATCAGCAATTCTGTATAAAGAACGCTATAAAAACGACAACGTAGTACTGTAAAATGAGGAAATTCAGATAGTTCCTATTTTCAATTTCTAAAATTAAAAATATTATCCCTAAAAACTTTATATAAATTGAACGTAATCTAAAAGGACTAGAAGCAAGATAATAAAAGCTTTGTTATTAGATATAGCACAAACAATAACTTTCTCGCTTAATTTCTGACGAAACAAGATTAAAGTGTCGAAGTACCGTTTCTGAACTAATATTACAAAAGGAAAATTTGCTGTTAAAAGTAAACTGTTGTAAAATAATGTGATCACCTTTGTTGTAGTAAGCTATCAGATAATTGCGTCATTTTATTAATATTTGTACAGATAATTCTGCTGTTTAAATTCTACATCTCGCAGGTCAAGGCTTCAAAAACTATGTCGAATAAAAACTAGGATCTTTTAAACTTTTATGTGGTTTTTACAATGAAGAATTATCTTAGTTTATAACCTGCTTTTGGTTGTTATATAGTGCTAACAATTTATCTTCTACAAACATCGTGTGTTTTCATAATGGGTTTGACTCTAATATTCAATTCAATGAAACTTCTCAACTTCTTAAACAGTTTCAGTTATGAACATTTTTCACTAGTAATCATTAGAAGATTTTTCTCGACTTAGAAAAAAAACTTTCACAAGCTTATGATAAACGTATCGTTTGTAATTGTTTGAAGAATCATGGTCAAGGTGATTTAGAAAATTAACATTATTCACAATAAGTATATAAACGGGTATGTTATAAAGAAAAAAACAAAAACGCGAATCCTATGCTGGGAAGTAATAGGTAACGCACCATGCAAAAAGAAAAGAAAACAGTGACTATACAAATTCTAATGGAAACGGTAAGTACGGGAACAATGTTTCCATGGAAACATAGTTCTCCACTTTTACTTGATCTGAGTTATTCTATCTGATGTGTTGTTTTCACTTTTCTTTCACTATCTCCCTCTATATATGTATATATATATGTGTGTGTGTGTGTGTGTACCTTAATCTGTAATAAGTGAAATTAGGTTATCAGGTTTGTTAAAAGTATAAATATCTGTTTCTGAAATTACAGCTGAACCTATCATAATAATCATCTTTAGTTTACAAAATTACAAATTACATCTGCTGTAAATAGCAAGTTTTATTTACATGATGATTAGTAGCAAGTATCCAATTTCAGAGTACTATAACGTCTAGACTATAAGTTATAAGATTACACCATCATGCAGGTATGGAAAATGACACGTGAAGAACCAAGTACAGTGTATACTAAATCGTGTTACAGAGGAACCACCATTTCATAATTTGCATTGAATTCATGCTAAATGTTCAGTAGTACATCCATAACATCCACAATGCACTGCACATTTGTAACTGTGGCCATTATCACTGCTAACCCAAATTCATCCGTTTCTTATGTAAGTCAGGTATTATATACGTGCTATACAGATAGATTCGTGATTTTAGGTAACCTCGTAACATAAAAAAAAACTGTAAATGTCAACGCCGATAAACATTATGATTATGGAAAACAGTTGGAGATGGCTATGTCTTCACCAAAGTGTGTCTGTAACAGTCGTCTGACTGGACATCTGATATTGGAAGGAGTGACGTCTTTCATGAACATTGCAGTGTCGAGCACCTGTCGTTGGTGTAGTTCAAGTGTCATTCTGCAAATTCTGAGACCAATAGTGTCAGTTACTTGTAGACACATAGCTTACGGAAAAAGCCTGTTGTGGACCCTTTCCGAACAGTCACCTTCTGACAAGATTACCAACCTTATTGCGTTAATTTTCCATTCAAGAGTAAATGAACATAATCCGTCTTCAGGATATTCTGAGGCTACTAGTTGTTCATCTTCAGTCGTCTCGTGCAAGAATCAGCTGTAGAAGTGTCTGCACGTGGATAAGGTGGCTGGGAAACGCCTCAATGTCACCGGAAGGTTTTTTAGATCGTTGAAACCATCACATGCTGCTGCAAAGGTAAAGAAGATCTCAAGGATACTTGTGCTAATATCTTCTGTCTTTGCAAGCAATTTTGATTATTGTTTTTACAGAAGATGTGGGTCGAAGTTACACGTATATCCCCATTTCCTCAAAAATCCAATCAACCTTTGCATATCTGCACAATCCCCTGTACAAGGTATGCTGACTACAATATTTCCAGAGAGTTACCTCTGTGTTACCTCCAGTTGAGCATTAAAGCTTCACTAAGTGCCTTCACTTCAATTAGCTTATTTATACACATTATTTTGCGCATCGATATTGGCAGCTCACTTATAAAACTGTCTCAATACATTTTTGGTTAATGTGTAAACTAAGCAGTGGTGGCACCCCTTATAGCAGTATCTAGTATATTCTGTAATATATTTTTCATATGTCAATTGTCATACCTGCACATTTTAAAGTGGGTGATATAGCCGTCTGAAGAAGGATATGTACTTTAAAATCACATCGTACAAACTAAGTCTACCTTAAGTTCGAAAAGAGGTCCATTTTAAAACTTTTTTTTTAAACGAAGGTGACTAAAAGAGGGAGTTATAATAATATAGTTACATAAGAAGATGTGTACATGTACATATAAAAGAGCATAAGTGAATTATAACTTACTCGTTCAAGGTATAAACACTAGATAAAAATATTGAGCATTTTGTGGCAATCCTTCTCGATTTCTAGAGTTAAATGAATCTACTTGTTGTTCATAACTTATTCATGTCAAATATAAACAGCTTTACCTTCAAACGAAAACTTTTCTCTCTGATATTGCAGTTATGATACACATATATATATATATATAAGATTTTTTAACATCCTTGTCAAAAGAAACAAAATATTAAAAAAACATGATGTTAACAAATTTCACTTCTAGCACCCATAATGAGGAAACAAAATTAGTATTAGCGAGATTCTCGGTACCTGCAAACCCATCACACACATACATATATATATAGGTTTTTCTCTATCATACTATAAGTACTCTTTAGGCAACATAAACTTTACAAAATATTTCCAAATATAAGGAGGCATCACCTTACTGGAGTTAATTAGTAGTATCAGAATAAATCGTTTCAATGAAAAATTACACATGTGTGTGTTAGAATGAGCCAAACACGTTCTATAATCTGAATATTCAATCGTGGTGTCTTTCGTGGACAGTAAGTAGAGTGGTAGATTGGAGGGGGGGAAGCGGATAAGATTTAAGAATAAATTAACTCGACTATGTTTAACATGAAGGACAATCGATACTGACTTCATCACAAAACTAAGCAATAAAATTTAAGCACTATATCCCAGATGTCAAACTTACTTTAAAGAAGAAAAAAAAGCTGTTGTTAAGGAAAGCAAGACTGACCAGTATTTCATATATCGTGCTATTAATAATATGATAAAACTAACAACTAAGTAACTAATGCTGTAAGTTAAAAGTGGGATTCAAGGTCAAACTTCAGCTCATATAAATTATTCTTTTTTCAGAGTCTTATTTAGAGCATATCTATATGCTATTAGTGAATTGATTCCTCGTTCTGATTCTGTAGTAAAATATGAAGTATCGGTATACATTGAAGATGTTTATGAAGCTGTCATGGACTGTATCTAACAAAAATGTAAAAGTAAAAGCTGCCTGATGAAAGCCTCAGCACAGAAACTAACGTCGTTCACTCTTGCACTTTAACTATTTAAAACTCTTCTAAAACATGTTACGTTAGAGTATGAATATACCTTGTAAGTCCAATTCATAAAGCCCCGAGTTTATCGTGTATACAAGGAAATCTGTAAAATTTAATACTAACATACTACACAGCATCCTAGATGATTGAAATACGTCAAAATATCTTATACACAAATTAGATATTTTCATAAAAGGTTTTAAGAAAAAAATTGTCTCGTGAGGAAGAGTTAAAGTCGTGTTTTACAAATAACAGATTACCCAGTACCTTTGTATTCGAATTCAAGAAAAATGTAATAATTTCCGAATTTATTGAGCTTACATGAAAATATACTTTAAAATAATCAAGTATGTCTTTGCATAATATAAATATATTACTTATGGATTGATAAAATCAGGAACCTATCATAAATTGTAATAGAATAGAAAATTCTGTGTTGCTTCGTGTCATCAACTTTATAATATACCATCGATTGGTTACGTGTAAATGTTGATATTCGTAAAACACGTTGGACTGAGAACTGAGAACTTGTTTCAGTTATATAACTGGAAGATAAAATATTATTATACATTCAACTGACAAGTTTTCTACAACTTAATGAATGGTTACTTTAGTTTCTAAATGCGATCTTGAAAGATGCAAATATCTACCCTCGAGGCTAATAAAACCTGACATTTGTATACAGCGACCTAAAATTATTCATTACCACCAAATAATCGAGATTAAGTTATAATGTTCTT